ACGGATAGGCCTCTAAAGTAATAATACTAGTAGAGAATTTGTTGGTGATTTATTATACTATCACGAGGTGCGCGATAGACTTACCTCCCACGTGGTGCACACTGGACAACGTATACTCATACGACAAATTTGTCTATAAACAGGCGGTTGACTTTAAACTACCATGACCCGACTGTGTGTCATATTCAACCACGTTCTCAGTACTCATCTTACCTTTTTTTCTACCTTTGTGTCCGTTGCTTTTACACCTGTGAATCACACTTCCGTTACCTCCCTCGACTTTTGTGACTTTGATGTTCCTCCTCTCTGTGAAACCGGAAGTCAACTAAATGGTCAATGATAACTATCATAAAGCCTGCCACTTGATATAAATAAATCTAACTATCACTAATCTTAATGTAAGTACTTTGTCTTAATTATTAATGTTGTAAAACCTAACTTCCTGCAAGTGAGATTTAAAAACACGATTTGAGTGTAATAAAATAACAAATATTAATCACAATTATATATTTTATTGACAAAAAACAGGTGGGTGGAGATTGCACAGGTTGAGAGTGAAGGGTTTCGCAAAGAATCAATACAGATCTTTCTTCCAGAAGATCGATTACTTAATAACACTTTTTCGGTTAATTATCAACATGACTAATCAAAAATTCAAACAAATCATACATACTCAACGAATCATATGGAAGCCAAGGGAATATTTTACTTAACTCAAAGAGCCTCAAACGTGTCCACTCTCCGTTTTGTGTTTCCGCGTCGAATCCTCCGAATGGTATCGAATTTATCCCCGGGGTGATCAGTGCCCGCTTCTGAGCCTGCTCGCTCACCAGCTGTTACATAAACAGGATAGACGTAGCTCTTTGATCTCCGATGATGTGGGTGACCCTCCGAATGTTTCGCAGAAGGTGGGCTTTGCTGGTGCTGATGTTTGGGAAGAAGTTCCATTTGGAGATTTCGAAGTTTTTCTCTCAACTCGGGATCTTTACTAATTGCAGACTGGCGAAGTTCCTCAGATCGAAGATTTTCAACCACGGCCGGTGGGAATTCAACTACCGAATTCATGGAAATAGTTGATTAGACACTTTGAAATTAAATCAAGGATATTTAGCCTATAAATTGCAATAAAACTCTACAAGATGCTCCTTCGAGTCAATAGAATTCACAATTCTATTCATAGAACGATCCGGAGATGGAAAGGTGAATTTAATTAAACGATATTATGAGTGGATACGATTTTCTACACTGGTGACTATCCATAGCAAGGGAATCAAGTACTGCTGTTTTATCATGAGAAAACACTATAGCATTCAAATTGTGCCCTAAGATGGCAGGAAATAGAAACGTTGTAGATCTCTGCATTGTGCCATAATATTCCGAAGTTCACATTTCATGATTGGGTACCTAGATTTCGGGGTAATATTCAGGCTTTATTCTTATGTGTTGGTTTGATTTCTGTTTTCTGGTGTTAGCTACTTGTAGGATGACGACATTGCCGAAAATACTGTTGTATAGTAGGACTAATTAGAGTTCGCACTAAGCTACCTATTATGAGCAGTTGATAAAGATCTCAATAATGACAAGTTTGTGAGCCCAGTGCCCTCTCAGCCAGCAGTCAATCAGTAGTCTCTGGATTGTCTTTGTTTAGCAAACACTTCATCATATTTTAATGACTATGATCTATGACAAACAGACAGGCAGACAGATCAAATAGACGTGTTCACGCCATGCGTCTATTTCCTCTATTCTGTTGGGGTATGGTACCTAATCCCGGAACCATTTTAAACTGGGAGATCTTGCCATAGAGATTAACGAACATAAATCAATGGCTTTTTCGGTGTAGCAATCCGCCACACCCTTAGAAAGATTGATAAAATTTTTATTCTTTATTTAAGTTCATTTGTATTTCATTAATAATGAGTGAATTTCAAATACCTGGGACCTATGACAACTTTAGTATCTTCATTTTTTGCAGCTGAACAAAACTAGTGTACAATATGAAATAATTAGAATGATTTTTATTAGTTAGTGTTTGGAATGCACACATAATTGAAAACTGAACAGATTTTATCAATTTTTTTCAGAACCTTCAACGGTGCTAAATTTAATTAAGTTGGTTTCCAAATACTTTACTCATGATTCTGGTTTATTTCCCAAATTACCATTCCTTTCGTCGGAAGAATTCATTATACGATTGAAGATTTCATCTCCATTATTCCTGTGATGTGTTGCCTACCCAAACCTCTTTAAACTTCAATACAATCAATAAATGAAAGAGACAGATGTACAATCACCATAGAATAAATTTACGTATACTGATTTTGTTTGCTACCAATCTAGAAGTATGTGCATTGAACTGAGGGAAGTTTCCACAAACTTACTCAAATTCTCCTGCACCTGAAGCCAAGTCCCATTTGTGATTATCTTGCAGATAAGAAACAGGGTCCCAAAAACTTCTAGACTTCATTATTTTAGTTTTACCATAAAGGTATTTATTGATACATATATTTTCTATCAAAATTCAAATAGTACCTTAAGGTCAAGCTCAAATATTGGAAAAAATGAAAGAAAGCATGGCTCTGTGACTTGGCGTAACATCTTACGAAAATATTCATCAATCTGGAAGTCATGGATTTAAATCATAAAGAACATTTAGATAAGCTTTTGAATACGCCTAAACCTAGATAAGTAGTGAAATGGCCTTATTTCAAAGTCATTGTGACCAAATACAGTCTTAGAAACGAAATGACTAAAATTCAAGTTGACGAAATTGTAAGAGATCTTCTATTATCAAAATTGCATAGAAAATTCGTCATGTTCTTTGGGATTTACACTATAAATTTTGCACTAGAAGATATTCAGATAATCTAACTTTAACTACGCATAAATTTAGAGTTCAAATTTGACTTTGACATGAGATATCGCAGTAAAAGTTTAGAATGATTTAAAACTTTGTATGTGTCAGACAAACAATAAATTCTTCATTTTGACTCCTTCATAAAGCGTATCAAAGTCCACATTAGGCCTTCACACATAGGTGCAATGAAAATAACGCCGGAGGCTGAAAGTCACGCCCATCTCAGCTCAAATCCAGAGAAATTGTTTTAGAGGGCGCTTCTTAACAATATTTATTTGCTACTTATAATAAGTGAGTAGATATGTTATAAGTGGGATGATCATCAAGGAACGAAATGCATTAATTTACTTATTAACATAGGTGTAAATTGTATATTCAAAAGCACAATTTTCCCAATTTTTATTGCGGTCTATGGTACAATAAATAGTCTATAAATTCAATTGTTTCTGCAAGCAAAGACCCTTAGCAATACACTACCAATCGTAACTACTGGAATTCCCCAACCCAAAGCCGATAAATTATAAATCCATGTGCTCTCGATGCCAAAAGTCAGAAGAGGTTTTAATTGAGATTATAGATCGTCGATGAAAATAATAGTTTGAGATAGGCCTCCAGCAGGTTTAGCAGACAGCTAATTCATAGAAATGTGGTTTTCTGTGACTCACTCAACGCTCCAAATTTAGGAGAAAGTACAGAAAGCTCGCCAATTTCAAATGCCACCTCAAATATGATGAGTGACATTTAAAGAGTAAAGTATAATCCAATAGTTCTATTGGGGGATTGAAATTATCTAAATTGACAAGTTGATTGAGGCCCTAAATTGGAAAGCTAAGCATGCCAGAATGCAAAATATTTGCCATTTGTTATAAAATTTCCTAAAGTTTGCAAAACAGTTTGACCAGCAATAGAAATTTTAAATTTATGTACTTATTTTTTTCTATACAAGAGAAAAATAACGCCTAAAATCTTAATTAAGTCACAATTTAATTTTCTTTCAAACACTAATAATGTAAGAAGAGACTGTCAACATACTGAAAGAATATGCTTGATGGACCCATCGATATCCTAAACATTGCCTTAACAATGTCTTTACAATAACCAGAATTCTGCTAGACGAATCATAAAGCAAATTTCATTCTAATAAATCTGACATTGACTGTATCATAACCGACAGAAAGATATTCCTTAGCTACAGATGTTCAAACTCTGTGGACAGAATGAATGGAACTTTTAAAGTACGCCTGCTTGAACCAAAGCGTGAGTTGAGACTTGTGGATATACGATTGCCCGGAAGTAGAAACGCAGTTTTTCAAGCCACGGTCGCGGATGAGGAGTGACCGAAAAATCCAACGCCCAAGAAGTGGATAATGACTGATCCAAATTCGAATCTGCTTCCATTTAGTGAGGATGCACTTCAATCCAAGTACTAACTCAACTGCTCCTAAATGTTACCATTTGACAAATTGGGAACAAGTGATGGATAAATTAGCTTTTTTTGATTTTTTAGCCGATATCGGAGCTATTGCAGTTTGGGCTAACAAAGTCAATATTTTATTAATATTTTCAACAAGAATTAATTTTTTTAAACCGCAAAGGTAGACATTATTAAGGCTAATGGCTGCAAACAAGCAATGCCTGCTTTTCAAATGATTAATGAATACTTTTAAAAATATGTTTGAAGCAAAGTTTAGGTTGGTAGGGAGAGCTATAGAGTTGATCTAACAAATTTGAACAATGTTCAAGGGTGGGACAAAGGTGTATGATGATATTTCAACCGGTAAGAAGAGAGCTCGAACCTTTAGACGTTCTGAGTGGAATCAATTTAGAATCTGTTTATAGAATTCGTGTTTTGATCTTCTTGCGAACTAAATTTACTTATTAGTGTATTTCTGTCCAATCAAATAAAAGCATAATCATGAATATTTACAAAGAATATGAAGAATTCAGTTGTCTAGATCGGTCATTTTTAGATAATTATGTTTTCTCAGCTCAAGGAAGAAAAACCAATTGAAATAGCCAGGCCGACCGTCAAAATCAAATAACCACTCCACGTGCATTGAATTTCGTGGGTGTGAATATTTTGAATAGTCCAGATGGCTAATCAATAAATTTGATATGTGGAATATAAACCTTTAATCCGAAACCAAGAATCCAATGCAGTACGATCCCCGATATTTTGACTTTACTATAGGTATCTCTTTGATCCCTCTTCAGGCAGTTTTACCAATGAGTTCCTAATTATTTGAAATATTAATCAACCCACTTACCTTGCGAATGGCAATGCGGATCGAATTATCCGCCAAACAATTTTGTTCGAGGAGGTATCTTAACTTGAGTTTTTCAATAACCTCTTCCTATATTCATTGATTGAAGTTGTAATAAGATCTGAGTTAGACTAAACAAAGACAATCAGGAACTCCCTTAATGAAAAAAGTCATTTTACATACTACTCTTTCGGTCGAAATTTACTCGGGGACCTGATCCTCACATTACATGGTGTAAATCAATGAATACGTGTCTCGTAATCTTACGCAAGAGAGTCTTGCACCTCGCCCATTATGCTTCATTGCTTAATTTAGATCTGCATCTCTCAATTAAAGTAAATAAAGCTATTGTGTATAGGGCATCCCACAAGGGCAAGGAGAACTGGACGGAGAGGTGTCTTACCTCTATTTTCTGGGGAAGGTATCCGAGCATCTAACTCCACCTCCTCATCTCCTTCTTTTGCCTCTCCTGGAGCTCCATCCGGAGGGCCTTGAATATGTCTCCATGTGGATTCGAGGAGTTGTACAGCATCCTCCACTGAATCGGACATCTCTAACTTATGACGAGGCAACTGGGTGGAGGATCTTTCAAAGCACTCAACTGAAGGCGATGATATTGGCGAGGACAATCGACGCCGGGGTGACATTGTGGTTGGAGTGGGAGTTGTTGTGGGGGTAATTGGAGTAGAGGAGGAGGTATTAAGTGAAAGATTTTGAGGTCTAGAAGAACTTGACGGACGAGAGGGTATGTCTTCTTCGAAGGTTGTGGGACAAGGCGTTTCATCGATTTTCTTTAGAGAAAAGGTGCATGAACAACGAAATTTTAATAATAATGATTAGCGTCCCACCTATCAAGCCTTTACTTCTTTTTACTAGTAATATCAAAATGGTGCCAATCGTACAAAGCGGTTGTAGCAACTCGATCTTGACCTCGCATATACTTTTGTAACTAATAGGTGATTATATCTAAGTGTTCAAAACAACCAACTAACTAGAGCTTTCCGTATATTAGCCCCTTTAAAGCAAGCCAATTTGTCAACACGCTACACGCTGGTGCTACTTCCACTTCTAGCGTTTTTTTCCTTATTTCCATCTGCGCATGCCTGTGTCCAATGTGCCCCCCCCCTCCCACTATCCACACTTCTTCCGCATTGAGAAATGCCAGAGTTCATTTTAATCCCTTGAAGGGTCATACTTTTTAAGTGGTATAAACTAACGGATAGGGTGCTATTGAGAACGGCTAAGAACCTGAGGACTATTAATATGCTGTATGCTTAAACAAATAAACTGCATTGCATACATTATCCAAGTGAATTCAACTCCCAGTCCAATCAAATTGGGGTGTGAGAGATATTCCTAGCGAACTCAATCAGAAACCACTGTCTCAACTTGCTAAAACAAAATAGCACGTAAGTTCATTTTTCCTGCCTTTTCGAAAGGTACTTCGCAGATATTTGAATTCATTTAAAAGGCGAGGTACAAGTTTTGACATGGCACCTACCTCTGTCTTGAGTTCCATAGAACTCGGAAGGGAACAAGCGGGTTTGAATTGGTTCAGGGACTCAATTGGTGAGGCGGGAGGCGGTGTGATAGAGGACTTTTTAAGCCGGTCTTGCGAAGATGAAGACGAGGAGGAGGCCCATTGAAGTCGTCGCTCGGCCTCTTCTAATCGAGCCTCCAATTCACGAACCCGCCGCTCAGCTCTGATTCGGGCCTCTCGTTCCTTGGCTAACCGTTTCCTGCATGGACAATATTTCAAACAATTCTTATAATGGCAAACAAAGTATACAAATATAATTAGAAACACCCACATTTAAAGAGAAAAAAATTTAATTTAATAATGCTGTTCCAGAACCTAGTTTTGGAATGATGAAATCTAACAAATTTCTGACTGATGGAATTTACGATTGTTGAGTACCTTTTTCTTTTAATAGCCGTTATTAACTACGCGGTTAATTGTTATTTAAACGAGCATAGAGGGTAAAGAAAGACACCAGGGTTCTGTCGTACAGAAAGGTTCGAGCAAAATGCTGAGAAATCGAATGAGGAGAGGATGAGGTGTGTACAAGAGGGTCAGTAATAGGTCGAACACGGCATGTGACAAAATGCCTTTAATCAATCAACCAATCGTTGTTGACTAGAGGAAATAAAATAGAAAATAAAATTGAATTTTTGGAGGGAAAATGCGCGTCGTTAACATCTCGCCAGGAACTATCAATGCATTTTACATGCCAGGTTAGAAAGGGAAACAAGAACAAAATTAAATAGAAACCTCCGGATTAGAGAAACGTTATTTACGTTTTGTTTTTCACATTCCAGAGCAACAATTTCAAATTTCTATGGGAGACAACTGAGACCTATATTTACCACACTTGACAACAAAGCAATTGCTAAAAGAAAATTACTTTCAACCTCCATTTGCATTTAATGATCTTTGACCTACTACAGAGGGGCGAGCAATATACCCATTTTAGTTCCTTAGACTCAAAGGGTGACAATATAACAGTTATGTAATGTAGTTATTGGGATACCTTCCACAATTCCATTAAAGTAGTTAATTTAAAGGCCATTTTCCACACTTAGATCCCAACCATAATATAAAACACCCATATTTATCCTTAAATGAACTGCTAGATTGGTGAAATAAACTAAGAAAAATAAGTAATCGTTGATTATTATTTACAAATACTCAGTCTAGACTGTTAGTGCTAAGCTTATTAATTACTGGACCAAAACGCAACTGTTAGATTAACGGAAACCGTCGTATTTCAAGTTTACGAACACGTAGAGAGGGGGGGAAGAAGAAACGAAGGCGATAGGTTTGAATGTGTAAAAGCACGAATGTTTCCAGAAGTGCGTCAAATTTCGATAGGTAAGCCGCTGCCGAGCTTTAAAAGAATAGGCGATTTATTAAAAATAAACCAGCAAAGATCAATACTTTTGGGCTGATTAATTAGTGTTACCAATCAAGTTCAATAGAGGTGTTTCAAGTTTACAAACTTATAGTTCAGCTGGAAGAATTTACGCACACGCACACACACACACACTCTCTCTCACACTCTTAGAATATGAAACACAATTAGGTCAATTTCGATTTAGTTAACATTTAAGTGTGATAATGCTTACTTCACTATTGTTCACTATTGCATACATCAATCCAAGAAACACTAAACACTACTTGAAAGCAATGTTGAACCACACGTTGGCTTATTTTTCTTACAAGGCTTAAGTGATGAGCGTTGGGCTCTCATCAGTTGCCCACCTGAAGAACAGTGGACACCAGACGATTAATCATGTTCATCAAAATTTTGACTCTATCTAATTTTTAAGTATTCCTCTCGGAAGCGTCGATCTTGTTTACAATCTTCATTTCTTTCGAGCTCTAATTTAGCTGACGGTACACTGATTCAGAAACTTGAATACCTACTGGTAGTTCTTGGAATGATTCCTAAGCGAATAAGGAGGCCTATGATAAAGATATCGCTTTAAGAGCATCCTGGTGAGTCCAGACGATAAGTTGTGCAAGTTTGGTTAGTAACCACTGAATGAATTTAGAAAAAAGACGACGATTTAGAGAAGTAAAAATAAATACATAGCTTATTTTTTTGGAATATGTAAACCCTTGAGAAGCGATAATATTTGACCTTTGCTGCATTCAGAAAGGTCATTACAATACATGAAATGGTGCCGATTGAGTTTAAAAGGAGAGAAAGATGACATGAACCTCAGTCGATGTCATTTGCACTTTAAGAAGACGATTCAAACTGCGAACTTTAAATATTTGTAAACGGAATTTTCATTATAAACACTTGAGAATCATTAAGTCTGAAGTCTAATTACCGGGGTTTCCCGTAACTCCGTCCAGGACGGTTAAACGGAAAATTTTGCTTCGGAACTAAACAACCGCCCACAAGAAGAGGCGCCCATGAGCGATAATACAGAAGTAAAATAGTTCCCCAACGAATAACGCACACCCATACACACACACATGTATATATATATATATATATGTATATGTATACATGTACATCGTGTATCCGGCATGACTCATCCTGTGGGCTCTTATTCGGATGGGCGAACTTTCGGAAAACCAGGGTAGAACAATTTGCTCTATGCGGAAGGATCTGTCTAAACTAACTCAATGAACTTATTTTCACTCAAGCTACTGGAAAGGGAAGCAAAGCCTCAGGGCAAGAAAATCTTGTTATGCTCCTGATGAAACCACAGGCAGTTCGAAGTCAACTTCAAGCAATCCTCCTGTCTAGGCGCATGTTTATTTTTAAAGACGCTACGAATAATGGCACCCACAATGTATCTCTTTTCCACACTGAAGCAAAACGTGCTTGCTCTGCCTCTAATTCTTACTATTTTGAGTATTAAGGTAAGGTAGCAGTGTCAAATGTAAATCACCCAGAGTTATCTCTCCTATGAAATGAAGTCCTAAGGGCAAGGGTCCTGTATGTGCAAGCAACTTCCCTAAAATCAACTCTCTCTATAGTTAAGTACGAACCAAGGGTACAGAAAGAGGAGATTGTCAAAGACGTCAGAAGATGGAAGGGCAGGAAGAAATCTACTGAAAAAAGAGAACCTGTTGCGTGGATAGGAAACAGATCATCTGAGTCTATACAAAGCAAGTAAAGTTCAACGTTAAAGGTGATGCTGCGATTTTGACACTGAAGGTTAGCAATCGAATAACTACTTAAAGTGCAGTTGCTAACTGAACCCAAATTCCTGAGTAATTAGAAATCCTGTCAGTTGTGAGGCGGCTACTCGGAAGAAACACCAAAATAAGAAAAAAGATTAGAAAGGTACGTTGAAAATAAGTATTTTTCCCGTCAGAAAACTCTAATATTGACAATTGTCAGCGTCTTCATGTGATGCCAGCGAAGTTGGCTTTTAGTTAATGGAGGGAATTGCTCCATTTACGATAGCCACGCAAATTCTTTGTAAAACGACATGCAATCTCGTTTGTGCCCATAAAAATATCGTCTTTTTGCCAAACCGACTCCCAACATTCTATTTTGCCAATTTTACAAGCACTCGATTTGGCTAACCCACAACCAGTATAAATGTACCTATTTATCACGCCAACTGAAGCACTTTACACATTTGTTGGCATATTAATTGTAAACGTGTAGTTCTGAACAAAATTAGTCTATTTTTACCTGTGATTGTTTTTTCTTTACCAAGATGTACGCAACAGACTTACTTCCACGTGGTGCACCCTGGGCAACGTATACTCATACGACAAAAAAGTCTATTAATCGGCAGTTGACTTCAAACTACCATGACAAGTCTATTAATCGGCAGTTGACTTCTGACTTCAATTACCATCAAGTCTATCAACCGGCAGTTGACTTCTGACTTCAAACTACGTCTATCAACCGGCAGTTGACTTCTCACTTCAAACTACCAATCAGCCCGACTGCTTGTCATATTCAACCCCTTCAACAGCACTCGCCCCACTGTATGTCATATTCGACTACTTCCACAGTACTCGCTGACTCCATGTCATATTCGATCATTTTCACAGTACTCACACAAACCGGCAGTTGACTTCTGACTTCAAACTACCATGACCAGATCTATTAACTGGCAGTTGACTTCTCTATGTCATATTCGAAGTCTATAAACCGGCAGTTGACTTCAAACTATCGGCAAAAAAATTCTATTAACCGGCAGTTGACTTCTGACTTCAACGCAAAAAGGTCTATTAACTGGCAGTTGACTTCTCACTTCACAAAAAAGTCTATTAACCGGCAGTTGACTTCTGACTACTCAAACGGCAAAAAAGTCTATAAACCGGCAGTTGACTTCTGACTGAAAAGGTCTATTAACTGGCAGTTGACTTCTGACTTCAAATAAAAGTCTATCAATCGGCAGTTGACTTCTCACTTCAAACTAAAGTCTATTACCTGGCAGTTGACTTCAAACTACCATGAGTAAGTCTATTAACTGGCAGTTGACTTCTGAGTTCAAACTATCATGACCCCAAGTCTATTAATCGGCAGTTGACTTCTGACTTCAATTACCATGATCTATTAACTGGCAGTTGACTTCTATGTCTATTAACTGGCAGTTGACTTCTCACTTCAAACTACCAAATAAAAAAGTCTATTATTCGGCAGTTGACTTCTGACTTCAAAGCGGCAAAAAAGTCTATAAACCGGCAGTTGACTTCTCACTATCGGCAAAAAAATTCTATTAACCGGCAGTTGACTTCTGACTTCAACGCAAAAAGGTCTATTAACTGGCAGTTGACTTCTCACTTCACAAAAAAGTCTATTAACCGGCAGTTGACTTCTGACTACTCAAACGGCAAAAAAGTCTATAAACCGGCAGTTGACTTCTGACTGAAAATCAAAAAGTCTATTAATCGGCAGTTGACTTCTGACTATTTCCACAGTAGCTCACCCCACTGTATGTCATATTCGACCCCTTCCACAGTACGCCACCACCCCACTGTATGTCATATTCGACCCCTACCACAGTACTAACCCCACTGAATGCCGTATTCTACCACTTTTACAGTATCCATCACCCACACTGTATGTCATATTCGACCCCTTTCAAAGTACTCATCTTACTTTAACGGTACAAGTCTATTAACTGGCAGTTGACTTCTCACTTCAAACTAACAAGTCTATCAACCGGCAGTTGACTTCTGACTTCAAACTACGTCTATTAATCGGCAGTTGACTTCTGACTTCAAACTACCATAACCCCACTGTATGTCATATTTGACCCCTTTCACAGTACTCATCTTACCTTTTTATGCCTTTGTGTCAGTCTGTCTGTCTCTTTTACATCTGTGAATCACTCTTCCGTTCCCCCTCTCGACTTTTTGCCACTTTGATGTTCATTTTCCTTTCCCACCCCTTGACTTTCTTCTACTTTGATGGACCTTCCCTCTTCTACCCCTCGACTTTCTGCTACTTTGATGCACCTTCCCTCCCTCTCGACTTTTTGTCACTTTGACGTTCCTCCTCCTCCTCCTCCTCCTCTCTGTGAAGCTTGAAGTTAACTAAAGGGCTAATGATAACTATCAAAATGCCTGCTATTTGAAATAAGTAAATAAATAAATTTTCTTTACCAATAATTCTATTATGGCAATCCTAAATTAGATACCGAAAGAAATTGCGTTTAACAACTTCTTTAGAGCACAAAATATTCATGAAACAAATTCTACTCAATTTCAGCTATTTCACGCTCTTAGGTGGCTGAAATGACATTCAAGCAAAAAAACCAAAAATGCCAATTTAGACAGCGGCATTAAGATGAAAGCTTCGAAAATACAAAATGGGGCTTATTTAAATAAAGAAGCTGTTTTATAATCTCACTGCTACTCGGTCGTTTGCTATAATAAGTAATTTCTGGAAATTATATATGCGAATTTCAATCAATTGAGCAAGTTATTTTAAAATCGACATTTCTAAGCGTTTGTTTCTAATATAAAACTTAAAATAGTT